AGTAGTTGTGGCGCACGGGCTTATTTACTCTGTGGCATGCGGATTCTTAACCACTGCACCACCAGGGAAGCCTGCATCTCCAGTTTTCAAAAATAAATGCCATATGCCATATTTTGGAGGGTTTTGGTGCTGGAGAAAAAGATAAGGAATCACCAGCTTAGAAAAGTAGAATTAATCCCGAGTGCTTTGATGCCAGCCTTGGAAGTTTTTATTAAGGAGTTTTCTTCTGTATTTACTAAGTTTTTGTCAGGCTTGTGTCTAACTTAATGGCTGTTTTCATTCAATCCCCAAAGCAAAAGATTTCTGATGGAGAGGAAGGTCCGGCAGAGATGAATGGAATGGGTTCCAACTGGAGAAGACAGGGAGGAAATAAAAGTGCTTTCACAGCTTCTTATTCCTCTCTTCTCAAAACATCTTCTCCCTTACCTTCTGAGACCCACATGCTTCCTTAGCTTTTCTCCCACCTCACAGGCTGCACATCACTGCTGGGCCCTTCTCTTTCCAGGCCTGAAACATTGCAGAGCCCCAGGGCTCAGCCCCAGATGTCTTCTCTCTCCACACAAGTGCTGTTACCTCCACACTCCGGATCTAGCCTTGGCTTCTTTCCTCAACTCTAGGCTCATCTAGCCGTCTGCTTACTCTGTATCTCCATCCAATTTTCCTATCTAAAACCAAAGCCTTGATTCCACCCCAAGATATTCTGTGCCTCTTCGGTCCTCCACATCGTAGTAAATGGCAACACCGCTTATCCAGCTGCTCAGTGTTGTACCTAATTCCTCTTTCTCTGGGACCCCAGCAAATACTTTTGGTTCTACCTTCAAAATACATCTGGAATCCGGCCACTTCTTCCTATCCTTCAGCTACCAGCCTGGCCCAAGCCATCCTTCTTTCCAGCTCATCCTTCTGCAGTAGGCACCTAACTGGTCTCCCTGCTGAGTGCCTAGCTGTCTCTACACAGCTCTTCCTTCACCCAGCAGCTACAGTTCTACTAAAAGATAAGTCAGATTGTGTCATTTCTCTGCTCAAAGCCCTCCAATGACATCCTGTCACTCTTAGAACAAAAGCCAAAATCTAATTTATACGCCCCTCAAGACTTTACATGTCCTGGCCTTGCCTGCCTCCTCCTCCTCTTCATTTCCCACCACCCTCCCCTGCACTCACTGGTCGGATCAGAGGAGCTGCCTCACAGTTCCCCAAGCCTTCCCCAGCACATTGCTGCTTGCGGGGGGTTTGCACTGGCTGTGCCCTCTGCCTGGAATGCCCTTCCTGTGTCCTTTCTGTTGTTCGCTTCCTCCCCTTGTCCACGTCTCCCCTCGTCTGCTCTCCAGGCCTTTCCTGACCCACCTCTTCTAAAAGAGAACCCCCACCCTTCCATCTCCGTCCCCTGACTCCATTTTCCCTTGTAGCACTTCTCACTGGCTAGTGTTAATTTTGATTGGTGTATTATGAGCATGAAGCCCTGTGAGCATGTGCGCTCTAGGAACACAGAGTGTTCACCACTGCTGTCCCAGTGCTGTGAACAGTGCCAGACACATAGTGTTGAGTAAATATTTGTTGAATTAATGAATAATATCGTAGACATTAGATTTATCACCTTTGCTTGTTCTCTTTCACTGAATGCATAAATATTACAACCAGCCATGTGATATTTTATTTTTTATTGGTTTTATCCACTCCTTGCTTGTCTAGCCAGAGCTTAGGCCAGTTTCATAGTGGTAGGAAACAAGGGAGGCAGGGTCCTCATTACCTAGTTCACACCCCAGTATTCTGATGAAATCAAGATGCACACATAACTTTAATCCAGAACATTCAAGTTTGTTTTTTTTTCCCCCCCAAAATTGACATGCACTGGACAAGTCTGTTAAAAAAAATAATTGTCAAATCTGGTAACACTGCCTCCATTTCCCTAGCATAGCTAAGAATAAGACTGGGTCTAGGAGGAATAGACTAAAGCAAACAGGCCTGCTCTTACCCATTCCCTGTCTCAGATGCCACCTCATTCCATTCCTGAGGGCTGACACTTGTGTGGATGGCTACCACATTCTTTTGTGTTACAAATCAAGTCATCTGAGTCTCCTGGGACACCGACCCCACTGCCCTGCAGGTTGCTGTCTATTGCTAAGGCTTTCCAGTGCTTTCCAGTGGTCGGCCAGCATTTCTGGCTCCCAAGCCACCCTCAACCACTTTTGATAGGAGAAAAAGATGTATTAACACATAGCAATTAAAAGTCTAGCAATTGGCAAAGATTGGCTTGATGTTCTTAGAATCATCACCTGGGCAGCTTTCTAGAAATGTAGGTTCCCAGGTCCCACTGTAACCTTGGGATTGGGTAGGACTCTGGTGTGGTACACACACACACACACACACACGCGAGTCTCTCTCTCCCTCTTTCTTTCTCTCTAGCAGATCATATATATTCCTAGTGATGATAAATGCTATGAAGCAAGAAAATGAAGGGCAGAAAAACAGGAGTGGAGATGGTGGGTAAGGGTTTTCTGAGGAGGTAATATTTAGTCTGTGATGGGAAGTATTAGGGAACGAACGTTTCGGGCAGGAAACAGCGTGGTGTGTTTACAGAATTAAAAGCAGACGAGTGTGGCTGGAGCACAGCACATGATGAGGGGAAGAGCTCGGGCCCGGTGGAGGGGAGGGCCTGGGGCCACATCGAGGGGGCTTCACAGACAAGGATGACAGCTTTGGGTTTTGTTCCCAGCGCTCACGTTTTCCTGGGAACTTTGAGCCCTGTGCAGAGAATGCATTGTGGGAGCACGAAAGTCGAAGCTCTGAGACCTGAACAGGACCGTATTGTCCTCCGATGCTGAACAGGAAGAAGGTGGCAGCACCCAAGATGGAGAGGAGAGGGGGGTTTCAGGGAACATATTCGAAGAAAGTCAACAGGACTTGCTGATGAGCAGAAAGTGGGTGAGGAAGAGCATGGGGAAAGCAAGGATGATGCCAAAGGGTTCTATCGGAGGCAGTATAGAGTGTCATCGAGTGCCCCAGGTGCCTCATCTGTGAAATGGGAGTATTAAGGGACCTCTCCACTGGGTTGGTGGTGAGTTGATGTAAAGCACTTAGCGCAGAGCTTGGCACACGGTAGAACACTCTGTAAACATCAGCGGTGATGCAGACTGTGGTGATTCATCCAAGGTTGCACAACTGATCAGCAGCAGGTCCAGGACAAGAAGCCAGGGCTTAGACTCTTGGTTCAGTGTATTTTCTGCTATACCAAGCTGCCTCCTTCAGTTACCTTTGAACTTTTTTATTTATGCAGACTCTTGGTGGAGGGCTCAGTTGTCTTGGAACATAATGAGTTGCACTTCTCGTAACATGTAAATGTCACACCAGGCACGATAAAGTGCTAGGGTGTCCTTTGCAGCCTGGGAGTCCAGGTTATTTTGGCTGTCCATAAAACTGGGCTGTTCCAGACAAAGCGCAGGGCCCAGGTAGGGAGAGGAAGGGGGTACAGGAAGAGAGATGGTTAGCAGGTAGATTTCAAATAGTAAAAGGAATATCTCTCAGAATATAGATGTGCTTGTGTTGTGCACATGCTTAGGCCAGAGGAGGCACATGCACTGCAGCAGGAGCCGGCAGTGAGAGTCCTTCATACCGGAAGTCGTGGGTCAGCACATGCCAGGAGAGGGAAAGAAATAAAGCTAAGAATGTTAGTGTAACTCCCCCAGATTGTCAGGTTCCTAGTGATACATCTTTAAAAAGTGTTTGAAGTGCTTCTGTCAGTCTCAACTAAGCTAATTTTTAAAAATTGCTCTTTGTACTGTGCCTTTCTCACGAACCTGTGAATTTAATGCATGCAACATGTGGGGGGAAATCCTCTCAGCTAAAGTTCCCACCCCCCCCCAAAGTCTGAGAGGCAGATTTGATTTGATTTGATCTGATTTGATTTGATTTGATTTGGCTGCATTGGGTCTTCGTTGCTATGCGCGGGCTTTCTCTAGTTGTGGCGAGCAGGGACTGCTCTTCGTTGCGGTGTACGGGCTTCTCACTGCGGTGGCTTCTCTTGTTGTGGAGCATGGGCTTTAGGCATGCGGGCTTCAGTAGTTGCAGCATGTGGACTCAGTAGTTGCAGCACGCGGGCTCTAGAGCGCAGGTTCAGTAGTTGTGGCGCACGGCCTTAGTTGCTCCGCGGCATGTGGGATCTTCCCAGACCAGGGCTCGAACCCGTGTCCCCTGCATTGGCAGTTGGATTCTTAACCACTGCACCACCAGGGAAGTCCCTGAGAGGCAGATTTTAGAAGCACATTGCTGCACCTGCAAGGATTTTGTCATTTTATTAAACGGACCTCAGACCATGTTGAATGTGTCCTGTAGGAACGAATTTCAGAAAGAGGTGAGAGAAAATGCCAACTCAGCCCCTGTTCCCTCCTGTTGACTGTCTGTTTTGTGGCACCTCTATCTCAAACAGCGTGGGGAGGACTGTTCTTCATTACCAGGGAATGTGAGTCATTCCCAGACTCGTGTGATTGGGATTCCAAAACGTTGCTGTATCTGATGGTCTTATTAAATCCAAGTGTCAGTGCAGCCTTTCAGACTGTAGGGGAGAGCTCAGTTACAGCTGGTGACCTGGTTCTAGTTACCACACAGGGATGCTGGCGAGAGCAGTGACCCCCTCCGAGCACCCAGAGTTCCTCACGGATGGCTGTTACCAACTCTTCCCAGATTTGGGGGTTTCCCGGTTCACTCCACAGGCTTCATTACCGTTCAGCTCCCTGTTTATATCCTAGTTGGGATCTGTGTACTTCAGGGGAAAATGTCCTAGTGTCTGTAGACAAGCGAGTGCCAAGATGAGCCTAGCATTTGGAGGGTACCTCGTTTCAGATTTCCTCAGCCCTACCAATGTTAAATCCACTGTGTCCAGGATCAGCAAGACACTATCCATTTCTAGCTTGGTCCAAACAAAACAAATAAAACATCAAGCAGAGAGGGAGAAAGCTATAGATGTTGCCAGAAAATTAGTTTGCTCTGTCTTTTCTTTCTCCTAGAATGTTTCACAGCCAACGGTGCAGATTATAGGGGAACGCAGAACTGGACAGCACTGCAAGGCGGGAAGCCATGTCTGTTCTGGAACGAGACTTTCCAGCATCCATACAACACTCTGAAATACCCCAACGGGGAGGGGGGCCTGGGCGAGCATAACTACTGCAGGTAAGATGGGGTTGCACAGTACTTAAAAAAAATCTCTGGTTTCCTCTTTCCATTTCTTCTGGCCTTGCTCACAACAGGGAAGGCTTCTTTGTCTTCTTTTGCCCAACTCACAAGGCCTTTCTTGTTACTGTTTTAAAAATCTTTCTCCCAAAACTGCGTGCGCACACACACAGTCTACCCGCTCTTTTCAACTTGGGTTGCTTTGATACTGGTTTTCAGAGCTCTGCTTTCCTGTCTGATAGCTTCCACGTCTCTATGAGAGGGTTTTCTTAGTTGTCCCAGAAGACAGTGCACAAACAGCACAGCTTCTTAAGCTGCTGTGAATGTCATGGGCAAGCAGAGCACCATCTGTGACCCAAACCTCCCTCTGCTTCTGAGCAAAGGAAGCTGCCCTCCCTGTGTTTTACCACCTCCTGCCAGCCCAGGACCTGTAGCCATCAGATTTGTGCTGTTTCCTTCTTTTCAACAGACTAAGGTGTTCCTTTGCTCTTTCACCTCCTGTCTGACCCTCGCAGGGGCTGAGACCCATGGTGCTTCAAGCATGTACTTGTGGTTGGAGAGATGATCCATGGCTTTGATCAGATTCTCAAAGTTGTCAGTGATCCAAAGCAAGTTGAGAATCACTGGTCAGTAGGGACCAGAGCACCCTTGGTTATAGCTACGTTTTAGCTATTTATACCCAGGATCCTGGTAACATGACTCATGGGTCAGCCATGTGTTGAATTTAATTATTAATAGGACAGGTGCAAAGGCCGCCTCTTGAGCCATTGGGACAGGGAAAAATGATCACCGAGCTACTCTTTGAGCTACACACTGTGCCCCCAGTGCTACCGGAATGTTGGAATCTCAACCATGGCACTGTTGACCCAGCTGAGACAACATATTTATACCTGCATTGCATGGGCCACAGTGTTTACCTACTGCCCTCTCCAGGTACCTTTGCTAACATCCTAGGACCCTTGGGCTTATCTTGAAGTCTGAAGGCCTGTAGTCCATGTTATCTTTATCCCTGTGCCTTCAGCTCTTTGCTTCACCTTGGTTCTAATGCGTACCAACTTGTCATTCCCCCATTGTTGCTGTTGCACTATTTTTTAGTTTGTTATTTGATTGCTATATTTTATATGTTACATTGTATTATTTGTTTGTTATAAAAGTATTAAAAGTTTTTCCAAAAAAAAATTCTCGAACACAACAGATATATATATTGTTTAAATAAAAGTCCCCATTTTACCTCTTTCCTCCCAAATCCTCTCCAACAAGGCCTACTTCCCAGAGGTAACAATTTGTATATATGCTATTTCACATTTCGCTCTCATTTGTATTTTATTGTTAACATTACACATGCTCATTAAAGAATTCTTTGATGTTTTATTTTCAAAGTTATACATGTTCATTAGTTTTTTTCTTGCATAATTAAAAAAATTCACTCCACTTCTGGCTTATTTCCTTCCCCTAGTTTTCCTATTCATGGGAATAGTTGGCTTGGGTTGGGAAGAGTATTTAGGAAGAGAAACCAGTGTTTGTTTTTTATTTTTACATAGTTACTTATCTTATTGTTCTAAAGTGTCTCTTGATATTAGGCTGTTGGTTTATTCTATTATATTATTCTGTTATTCTATTACATTATTCTGTTGCCTTCTATCAAGCAAGTCTTCTCAGACGTGCTCCTGATTTTAAGGTAAATTTTAAATTTCCAATGAAGTTTAATTTATCTGACAAGAAAATCTTTTCTTATAGATTAGTACCCAGTTTACCACTAGGCTCTCAGAAATGCACCAGTAAGTATCCATTAAGAAAACACTGAGAGCTGGGGGACCACCTTCCTCCTGAGCCTTGGCTGGCTGGGGTCCTCTCCTTTGATTTGATGGAATGTACCAGACCTGAACTAACAATTTATCCTTCAAAAAAAGGGATACGGAAATTGTCGATTATTATCACATCAGAGAGCTGGGGCCTTTCGTTTTAGCACTGCAGCAGAGTCAAAGATGAATTTGCTTGTTCTTTTTTTAACCTATTCCGATGCTTTTCAAAATGGTTTTGACGTTGATAACAAACAGTTGTTTTCGAAAGCCTTTACCAAATACTACATCAAAGCTGAACACTGAATAGAGGGAGGAAAATGACAGTGAAACTGTTTAAAGAAGGGCTTTGTACAAATTCTCCGACTTTGATTTCTCAGCTGACATCCGACACCATGTTTGTCTTATGCGATGTTTCCAGACCCATCCCAGTTGAGATGTCTGCGAGATGGCGAGTGATGGGAACACACTTCTCTGGCTCCACGTATCTGGACTGGGGGGAGGCAGCGAGGCCTGGACAGCAGGGTTGGCACTGGTACCTGCCTTTGGGCACAAAAAATAAAAGGACCCTTTGTGCGTCAGGGCAGCTTATCTTCTGGGCCACACAATAGGCTGATCCCTCCCAGGCCTGATAGGGGCTGCTCCGGCTGCAGGGTCTTTATGCCCATTTCCGGCCTAACCGGAGTGTCAGGTTTCCAGTGTTCTGAGTCCAAATAAAAGGAGCTTGAAAAGCATCGAAGAGAGGCGAGGCTTTTCTGTGTGTCCAGTAACCCCTGCCATCTTTTGCTCTGTTTCAGCAGCGCTGCCCATTATTGTCGTGGCATCTCTGAGTTGAAAAGACCTTAAAGGCATTTATTCCAAGCCACTCATTTAGAAATGTGGAATAAGTCTTTTGCAATTATTATTGCCATATCAGAAGTTGGTGCCAGGATTATAGGACTGTATGTTCTGAGTGAAACTCTTTGGCATAGTTTTTTTCAGAATTCTCTGAGAAGTTAGTGTTTTGACGTGGAAATAGGACACATTTCTATCAAACATGAGTTGACTGGCCTGATCCTGGTGAAAGCTTGTCAGTGCAGTCTACATGATGTGAATTTTACTTTATTGCTTAAAAATTACACAGTGTTCATTGTAGAAGAAATGAGAAAATAAAGAGAATTGGAAAAGAAAAAAATTAAAATTACCAGTAGTCCCATCATCCAGTGATAAATACTTTCAAGAGTCTGGTGCGTATCCTTCCTTAAATATATCTTTTCAAAAATGGGATTGTTGTCATCCATCATGTTTTAGAGCTGCCTTTTAAAAAAAACCTAACAAGACATTGTGAATATCTTTCCATATTAATAAATCTGTCTCTACACCACATTTTTACCATATGCCTAGCATTCCCTTATATGGACATATTTGTTTAACCAATCCTTAATTGTTGTTTCTATCTTTTTTGCATTATGAAAATGCTGTGGTGAACATCTTTGTAAGTAAATATTTCCTTAGAATATAGCACTAAAGGAGAAATTGCCAAGTAAAGGGGGTTTGTGTATCTTCAGGGCCTTTGACTCTAATCACCAAATTTCCATCCTGACCGTTCACTCCATTCACATTATTATTATTATTTTTAAAATTTATTTATTTATTTTGGCTGCGTTGGGTCTTCGTTGCTGCGCGTGGGCTTTCTCTAGTTGCGGCGAGCAGGGGCTGCTCTTCATTGCGGTGCATGGGCTTCTCATTGCAGTGGCTTCTCTTGTTGCAGAGCACGGGTTCTAGGTGCGCGGGCTTCAGTAGTTGTGGCATGTGACTCAGTAGTTGTGGCTCACGGGGTCTAGAGCACAAGCTCAGTAGTTGTGGTGCACGGGCTTAGTTGCTGCATGGCACGTGGGATCTTCCCAGACCAGGGCTCAAACCTGTGTCTCCTGCATTGGCAGGTGGATTCTTTTTTTATTTAATTTAATTTAATTTAATTAATTTATTTTTATACAGCAGGTTCTTATTAGTTATCTATTTTATACATATTTGTGTATATATATCAACATCAATCTCCCAATTCATCCCACCACCACCATGCCCCCCCCCACTTTCCCCCCTTGGTGTCCATACGTTTGTTCTCTAAATCTGTGTCTCAATTTCTGCCTTGCAAACCAGTTCATCTGTACCATTTTTCTAGATTCCACATATATGCATTAATATACGATATTTGTTTTTCTGAATTAACTTCACTCTGTATGACAGTCTCTAGGTCCATCCACGTCTCTACAAATGACCCAGTTTCGTTCCTTTTAATGGCTGAGTAATATTCCATTATATATATTTACCACATCTTCTTTATCTATTCGTCCATTGATGGGCATTTAGGTTGTTTCCATGACCTGGCTATTGTAAATAGTGCTGCAGTGAACCTTGGGGTGCATGTGTCTTTCTGAATTATGGTTTTCTCTGGGTATATGCCCAGTAGTGGGATTGCTGGGTCATATGGTAATTCTATTTTTAGTTTTTTAAGGAACCTCCATAGTGTTCTCCATAGTGGTTGTATCAATTTACATTCCCACCAACAGTGCAGGAGGGTTCCCTTTTCTCCACGGCAGGTGGATTCTTAATCACTGTGCCACCAGGGAAGTCCCTGCTCCATTCGTATTCTTATCCGTAGTTTTGCGAGCACCTGTGTTCTCCCAGCCATGGGACCACCGTGTTCATGGTTAAGGTGCCAGTGCTATTTGGCATCATCTGTTCAGTGGTTAGTTGTCCCGGTTACACTGCAGTGAATTTGTGTAAACATATTTCACCTTTGCTCACTCCCTACCCCCATCCTCAAACTCTGAAGTTTCTGTTGGAGTGGATAGCTTTGTTCTTGTAGTATTACCACTTTTTTCTTCTTCATAAGAGGTGGCATTAAAATCTATACAAATTAGAAACAACACAGAAGCTGAAGTGTTTTTTTGTTTTTTGTTTGTTTGTTTTTGGTGAGGGGCGTTTGGTAAAACTGAAAAGCAATGAGCCAGTTGACTTAAAACAATGGGAGTGTTACCAGGTGTGTCCTTTTCCCTCCACAGAAACCCAGACGGTGATGTGAGCCCCTGGTGCTACGTGGCGGAGCACGAGGACGGTGTCTACTGGAAGTACTGTGAGATTCCCGCCTGCCAGAGTAAGGCTCTAATGCACCCATGGCAGGTTTTGGGACCCTGAGCACTAGGCGTGCAGAGTGGAGGCCACTGCCGGGGGCAGGTAGTGCAGGCAGGTGGATTTCCTGAAGCAGGTGAAAGGAGGAGCCACCTGGGCTGAGGATTTTTACTTCTCTTATGGAGGCTTTTCAGAAACGGGACTCCCAGTTTCTCTCAGGACCCCATTCCCTTGATGGATAAGCCCAATCACAATTTCTGCTTCTGCTTGATTTCCTCATGCTGATTCTTTCATGGATAGAGATGGCACCAGCTCAGTAGCAGTCCAGAAAAAAAAAAGTACCTTGCACTTTGCGGAATTAATTTTTTAGAATGAGGGAATTCCCTGGCCGTCCAGTGGTTAGGGCTCAGCACTCTCACTGCTGGGGCCCAGGTTCAGTCCCTAGTCGGGAAACCAAGATCTCTCAGGCCACATGGTGCCGCCAAAAAAAAATTTTTTTTTTTTAGAATGAATGAATAGCCCTTTATAGACAGTAAAACTAAGTTATGATACTGCTTACTATTTAGATTTGATGTGATATGTCTCCTGAAAAATGGTGTTCAGTAAATATCTAATTAGATACCCTCCAAAGCCAATGTGATAGTCCCTTTCCTCACATTAGCATAAATATGTTCTATTGTTATTTTATGATAACTCACAACTTGTCACTCTCTACTACTGGAAAACCCACTTTCTTCTGTCTTTCAGCACAAGACCTGTTTTCTAACTGGTTCATTCATTCATTCCCGCATTCAGTGTTTATTATCTGTAAGGTACAAAGGCAGAAAGATACCCTGACCCTCAGGGAATATGTGATGTGGCAGGGGATCTTAGAAAGATACTTTAAAACAAGGTGGAAACTGTTGTGGGAAGATTTAGAGTACAGGAACCAAAATCAAACATGGTACTGTAAGGCGTTTACTAATGCACTGTTTATAATATCTTCTTAAATATGCCAAAGGAACAAGGTTTTTCAATTCCTAGAGCTGAAGAAAAGGACAGCTCATTCATAATAATTCTACCTGTTTTTTTTTTTCTTTTTCCTTATGATTTAAACCTACCCCTTGCCCTGCCTCCTCTCCCACTCCTCAGGGCAGGAGGGTGTGTGTGGAGAGGGTATGGAGGTCCATGTGGGACCCACGACCCTCTCCCTCCTGCCCACCACAGCAGTCTGAATTCTGCCTCAAGGGGACCAGTGCTCACTTTTCATGAACTAAACTTCCACGTGTCCCGACTGTCTGGCAGTCAGACCCTCACTTTGCTATCCTTCCAACCTGATATACCTTGATTCAGTCCTCCAAATTGAGAAAACAGTAAAGACCAGAAGACTAGGCTTTTGCCCAGGCTGCTTAATCAAATTTTTAAAGTGAAAAACATCTCATTTGGCTCTAGTTATGTAAAAAAGGAAGGGGCAGGGGGAGAGGAAAGCAGATTTTCCTTGGTCCATTTGTTCTACACAATGATAGTCTTTTAGTACCAGCCTATGTCATTCTCTCAGGAATGGCGAAGAGGGGATTTCAATCCGGTCGCTTTTATTTGGAAAGATAATCCTCAACTCGCATTTATAAAATATAATTTGGGCCAATGGGAGTGGACTCATGTGGTCACTGAGACTAAGTTCCAGAGGAGAGAATTAGAGCAAAACAGTATGAACCACCTAATTCCTCTCTAATTTGTAATATTTGTCAGATGTGCCTCACTGTCTCCAAAAAGAAAAATTAAATATCATTTTTCTTAAGGCCCTTTGGTAACTCTCTCAAAGCTTCTAAAGCCAGCCTTGAAATGGTCAGGGTAGGGAGACATACAGAAGTTGGGGATGAGAACTGGGGAGCCCCTGGTTTGGGGGTGTGGGAGGAATGAGCAGTGTCTGGCTTTGGTTCACCCTGTGGGCACCAGTGCTTCCCATGAAGCTGAGCCTCAGACCTTGAGCCTGGAAGGACATTGTGCTTCTAATGTGTCAGATTAACAAAGTTGAGAAAAACTTCTGTGCTGTTTGCAGCAAGAGACCTTGGTAATTGCCTGGTGGACTCAACTGAGATCCAGCCTGCCTATTTTAGGTCAGTTTTGCCCTATTTCTGGATGTGGAGTCATCATTTTCATGAATAATGCTAACCCTCTGTGTGAAGCCTGCTATTCATGATTAGCATTGAACTTGTCATACAGGAAAAGGCCTGTGACATGATCAGATTCCTGGAAAGTTCATATCTGAATATAACAGACCCAGCAGGAGCCAGGGGGAGTGAATGTTTAGGGACAAAGCTGAGTGTGGTTGAATGGTGGGCCATTGTGTGGAGACCGGAATCTCTGTTACGTAGAGAGCTAAAAGGAGCAGGGAGGCAGAGACAAGCCTGATTCAGAAGGGGGCAAAGAGAGATTTGAACTGTGCTCTTGACCTACGGAACACGGATCAGAACTTACTGTTAAAAAGAGAACAACTCTGAGGTAATTGGATTTGCTGTTTAAACTGCTTCTGCCAGTATGTTTCTCAGAAACCTCGTTCTTATTGCAGAGAGAAGAAATACAGATTTTTAAAAGGAAATTCCAACAGCATCAAGTTTACCACTCCTCTGTGTCCCGCCTTCTAAATCTCTAAGTCCTATTGGTTTGGCTACTGAGGGAGAAATCATTTGGCTTAATGTCCACCCCTTGCGCATCTGTCTGTCGTTAAATAATCATCCTCACCAGTCCAATTCCTCTTTATTTTATGGCTTTTGAGGGACATGCTGTGTAATACTCAGCATGGCTTTTGTTTTGTTCTTTTACCTATAGATTCTTATAAAAGTTTTGTACAGTTTTTTAAAGTAAGTAATCTAGTTGAGGGGGAGCAGAACCTGCAAATGGCACTTGAAGGCAAATATAATTTTTTTCACATACCCGATTAGGACCTGAGGCCACAGGCATGAGATATTTATCATGTTGGCTCCGAGAGCTATTTTTGGTTTGCTGTTAAATATTCACCTGATTTCTACAAACTCAACTATAAAAATTCATCTTCGAAATAGGGAAATTTGAATACAGGCTGAGTATTAGATTATATTAAGAAATCACTCTTAATTTTACTAGGTACAATAATGGCATGGTCATTTACATATACAGAGAGTCCTTTTTTTTTTTTTATTTTGTGGTATGTGGGCCTCTTACTGTTGTGGCCTCTCCCGTTGCGGAGCACAGGCTCTGGACGCGCAGGCTCAGTGGCCATGGCTCACGGACCCAGCCGCTCCGCGGCATGTGGGATCTTCCCGGACCGGGGCACGAACCTGTGTCCCCTGCATCGGCAGGCAGACTCTCAACCACTGTGCCACTAGGGAAGCCCAAGAATGTTTTTTTAAAAGTGGCTATTTGTTGATGCTGGGTAAGGGCCTCATATTCTTTCCTACTTTTGTGTATACTTGAAAGTTTCAATTATAAAAATAATTTTTGTAATATTAAAAAATTTTATAACATTTACAAAATTTAAAAGTGAATGTGTAAATACATTCAGAGTATCTGGATTCAAATGTGTAACATGACTAAGCTAAATTGTAGTACTTTTTAAATATAACTCACAGGTATTTGAGTTATTTATTAAGGTTAGTTATTAAAGTTTTAGTTATTAAACTTATTAAAACTATTAGTTATTTAAAGTTATTAAAACTATTAGTTATTAGAGTTAGTTATTTAAAATTAGTTATTAGAGTTTAAAATCACAAGGACTTTAGAAGTCATTAGCTTTGACAGATGACATTATTTAAGCTCTAACCATATACCAGACCTTGTACAAAGTAGAGGACACAGGGTAGCATGATCTGCAGCCTGTGGGGAGCCCCTAGTTTAGGACTGAAGGCCGACATATAAACAGATCAGCAAATGTGAGATACTCTGTAATAAGTGAGATGAGCAAAAGGATGGGAGCACTAAAGGGGGGCATCTGCCCTGGCACAGTGGGTGGCAGGGCTGCTCTTTGTCAGAGGGCTTCTGGAAGAAGTGGGGTCTTACTTCAGGGCTTCTCCCACTGTAAGGTACATACCATCACCAAGGATCTTATTAAAGTGCAGATTCTGATTCAGTAGTTCTGGGACAGATCTGGGACTCTGCATTTCTAACACACCCCTGGGATGCTGGCACTGCAGGACCACACTTTAAGCAGCCAGGTTCTAGGTGTTAGGGTTGGGCAAAGGGAACAGTTTACATGCGTATATACACACACACACACACACACACACGTGAATTCCCGAGCAAAATCAATGTTGCTGAGATATCAGTTTTAAGAAGGAAGGACAGGAGACGAGGTCCGAGAAGAATTAGATGGGGCCAGATAATGTTCTGGGTACAGACTTGACCCAAGAAGATAGTGATGAGGCTGAGGGGAGTGTGGAGGGTCAGAAGGAAACATTTCTCCATAACTTCTTAAGCCTCTGTATTAGGGATATGGGGTGAGGTTTCTCCCTCCTAATCCGTGAGAAGTTCTCTAGTGATTGTATCATATTCTCCCAGACCAGCCTAAGAGGATGCCAGCAATAGCACCTCTGCCATATGGGAACTTCGGTCAGTCTCACTGGCTCAATTTCCTTTTATTTAAATGATACCCTGACTTTGTTAAAACAGATTTGTTTTTCCTTACAAAGGTGCAACCCCCAAAACAGGATTTGAAACCTTCTGATTGTGATCCCTAATAAGAGTTTTTCAAGTTCAGACTTGGAGTTTTAAAGTTCAAACTGAGTTTTTAAAGTTCAGACTTGAGTAAAAAGCCAAGGGCACTTTGGCAGTAGTGGTCAAAGCAGTCTCTCAATTATAGAAAATGTTTTGTTTTTGTCAGCACTTTCTGCATTTTAACGTCAGCACTGATTTTTAAACATTTTAGCTTTATTTCAGTTATTATTGAGTACCTAGTACGTGTACAGCACTTATATTCACATTATCTTATTAACCATTTCAACAATTCTATGAAGCAGGTGGTATGTCCTCTCCCGCCTGCTCCCCTTGGTCAGATGAGAAAATGAAGCTGGA